GCTGACGAGCGGTTTTCCTTAACGAGCAGACAAGCAAAGCAACAGAGAAATTAGCCACTCTTCTCCTTAGACAAATAACTTCCGTCTGAAGGCTTTTTATCTTCCCCCTCTCATCCTCGCAGGGCTGCGGCGGGAGGAAAGCTGATGTTTAATTACTTCCTTTATTCTCAGATAAACGAACGTGCTGAATCATCCCGTCCTTGCACCCTCGCCGGAGGCTGGCGGAGGGGAGGGACGGGGCCCACGGTGGCATTGGTGCTCTCCCTACCCGAATCCATAGGCGTGTGGAGGGGAAACCTGTAGGTCCGGGGCTCGCTGGAGCCAGTGTCCCCAGGCTCTTCCCCTTCCCACCCCACAATCACCTCGGGGAAAGGGGCCCCTGGCCGGTGCTTTGAGCTTCCCGAGCTATGTTCTGGGTTTCGGGCTTTCCCTCCCTGTTCTTCAAGTCCTGTTTAGCTGCAGAAAACCCTCGATCAGACATTAAAAGACCCGAAGATGGACTGAAACCCCAGGCAGCGCTGCTGGGGCTGGCTAAGCGACGCTGCCCCACGGCAGGGACCGGGCGGGTGACCCCAGGATGGTAGGATGCGGGGCTGGCGCTGGACCTGTCAGCAGACGAAGACAAGGAAACAAATTCCTGCCCCTGGACACGTGAAACCTTGCCTGGAGAAGTGCAATTACTACCAGGAAAAAAAAAAAAAACAGGGAAAGCAAAGCCTGGGCACAGCACAGCGCTGGTTTTGAATAACAGCTTGGCGTAATCCGCACACATTTTTCAAGCAGCGTTAGCCTTTTCCTGCCAAGGCCCGTCCGTAAGCGTCTTCCTCTTGGAAGATTTCCGCCATGGCTCGAAGGCTCCGTGTGCAGACAGAGACCGAGGGAGAAGTGGGAATTTCAGAGCAGTGGAAAATGGGTTCGTTCTTTGTTTGACGGAGTCGGATGCCTACGGCGAGCAGCACTGCCCTGACGGCTCTCTCGCAGCGGGAGGAGGAGGGATGCTAACACCAGGGCTGGGGGAAGTATTTTAGTAGTAAACTATGTGCAGGCTACTCAGGCTGTGCGTGGCTCGTTTCTGCGGCG